GATACATTGATTGGATAATATCGTAATACTTCATACAGCACGGAACATTGCAGCAATATTGCGACCATATTGCAATGTTGCTACAATGTTACAACAATATTAATAATACTGCAACAATATTCTGTGCTGTCTGCGTGACAAGATAATGATAGATAATTCACATTTGTTATAGTCATTACATAATAAAATATTACACAGATATTACATAGTAAAATAATTGATAATTTATATACATATAATTAAATATAAACTTTTTTAGATTACCTTTTAGAATTTTTTTAAAAATATTTAAAGTTAATAACATCTCTAATTAAAATATAATCAAAATATAATTATAATATCTTAATAAATCATAATAATAAATCATAATCTTAAATAATCATATACAATTTATTCAATAACATATTAATAATCAATGAAATATTGCAATATAAATAACTCAAAATCGAACAAATCAGAGCCAGCGCTAGATAAAAAGCGCTAAAAGAATAATTATATCACTCTTCTTAAATTAAATCATATATTATTCAATAATGTTGCTAACATAATATCATAAATAAATATTAAGAAGAAAAGACTTTTGGAAAAATATCTAAAAAATATATTATATTATATTTACACTATAAATAAAATATTTAATTATTTAATTATATGTGTTTTGAAATATATGTATTAATCTATATATATTTGTATCCCCCCTTCATAATTTAATAAAAAATTGCTATAAAAATATATTGAAAGAAATTAATAATATAAAAAGTTAAAAAAAAATTCGCGTAAACAATGAGAAAACAGATTTTATCAATTAGATAGACAAGACTTATCTACATCTTATCTCACCGATACAAATTCGTGGTCCTTCTCCAAATGGTAAATAAGTGTAAGGATGTCTGGCTGCTATCTTATCCTCGTTAAATCGTTCAGGATCAAATCTATCAGGATCTGGATATATCGATGGATCTCGATGTAATCCGAATATCGGTATAGTTATTGATGTGTCTTTTGAAACATGAATATTTGTAGTTGGAAGATCTATTTCTTCGGTACATATGCGATTCAAAATAGGTACAGGCGGATATTTCCTCAGTGTCTCTGCAATATACAAAAGAATATAAAAACACTTCAAAATATATAATCAATTATTATTAGACATATTTACTTAGATATATGTAAATCAAGAAATATTAGTGTGTATGTGTGTGTAGAAACTTCCAGTTAGAATTTGTAATCTGTTTGTGCAGGAAACTTGATAAGAATAATTAGTCCCGATGACTTTACAATATAGATTATCAACTTGCCATTTATTACTTTGTGAAGATATGTCATTTCGTTCACAGCATTATAAGTCAATTCGCCATGATTTTTTAATATTTCATCGATTTCATTGCGAAGTTTGTCTTGCAAGTGTTGATGTTGAGCTAATTCGTATAAACAAAATGTTGCTGTTGTCGAAGAAGTTTCGAAGCCAGCAGCGAAAAAGACGAAAGCTTGCGCACCAGCTTCTGACAAAGTGAGCCTGTTGATGGTAGCTATATATAAGCAAAACATTTTATATTAATCTTATTTCTTTTAGAAATATTCTAAAAGAAAAATTAAAAATGCTTTTATATAATTACTACACACAACTTATTATATCGTCATATTGTTGTCTGTATTTAATTAAAATAAGAATTGTATGTATTATATTTAAAAACAAAATTGATTTTAAAAGACAAAATAAGCGCGATAGAAAACAAATATTTAAAACAATTATATACATATTTACAAGATTTATCGATATCCTTTATATCATCGGATTCAACGTAGCCCTTCTCCATAAGTTGTATGAGCAGATTCATAAAATCCTGCTTGATGATGTTATGACTTTGTCTATATTCCACATTCTCTCGAAAAGTTTTCATAAAAAATTCTCTGATACTTCGTATATGTAAAGGAATGGAAAAGAAATTCAAAATTTGAGGCATAAGAAAAAATAAAGCACTCCAAAACGGATGAATTTCAAAGATCTTTTTTCCCCAATATCGAAACTCACTATCCTCTTTCGCTATGCAATTGGATTTGACTCCAAAAGCTGTTGACATAATTATATCCGTTGTAAATCTACAAATACATTTTCAACAATTTATTGTGGTAATATTAAAAAACTTTTTTTATGTACAATTTTTTTTAACAATCCTTGTACGAATATATATATTATTCATACAAAGATTATCTCTTTAAAAAAATTTTACCTTCCAAACCAATCTTTTATCTCGATTGAATCTCCTGTTTGTGCCACATTTTCTAAATTTTTCACAAATTCATCGGCGCACATTTTCATAATCGCAAACATTTGCTTCATTTTTCCTGAAGTAAAAGTGGGTGTCAACTTGACTCGCAAATTCCGCCACTTCTGCCCAGACAGTGCAAACAAATGACCGGTTAGTGGATCAATCTTCTCGTTGCAAAACACTCCGCGATCATGGAAATTCTTGAATTCCTTTGTTAGCACCATTCGAATAAGATCAGGATCAGTAATTATCAGATTTGGCTTGAAAAATACGTATATTCCAAAGGCACGATGTTCCTTATATTTCATGTAGACATCATGGAAGAATTTGCCTGTTAACAAAATTTTTTTCCATCAGTTTTTATTTCAAATAAAATGAAAAAAGGAGAACAGAGTAGAAAGAACAAATATTAAAGATAATAAAGATTGCTTGCGTAAAAATAAATGCATTATAAGGATTATAATATATTCTTATAATATATATAATATTATAAGAAAATATACTCACCTATTGATCTTTTTTTAGTCACTATGGATCCAATATTACCAGTTGGCACAACAGGTTTAATATAAAAAATATTTCTTTTGCGCCAGTAATTGAATAACACATACTTATAATAAGTATACGCAATAATCAAAGCAACAATGAAAATCCCAATTAATTCCGCGAATAACATCGTAAGTTTTCGTCTAAAATAAATAAAATTAAGCTATTTCATTATATTTGGTTACAATCATAAATCATCATGATTATCAAATTATAAAATCAAATTCAATAATTTGATTAGAATCATAAAATTGCAAAATATTGCGAAGATATAAAGCCAATAAAATAAATTAGTATATTTAACATTGAGTTTATTATTAGAGAAATTAAAGTTAATTTTTATTTTCTTTCTTTTGCATGAATTAGGAGAAAAATATTATATTAATATAGAAAATGTTCTTTTTGTTCATAAATTAATTTTACTTTAATAGAATTTTAATTTTATAATAGTAAAAGAGGCTCCTATCTAAATAAATTAAACAGTAATCAGGATTGAGGAGCTAATATTATTATAATATTAGCTCCTCAATCCTGATTACTGTTTAATTTAATTTTATAATATTATTTGATTGACTCGATGATAGTATTTAAATATTTAAATATCAAATTTTAAAAACTCTTACGATAAATAATATTTTTGCATGTTTATATTAAAAATTGACTTATTAAATAATCTGTTATTATAAAAATATGCAAATTTATTTGAAATAATTTTTATATATTAAATTTTAAAAAAATTTATGCAAATTAAGACAAGGTGAAAAGCATTTACGAGCAATCACATGTTATTGAGTGTGAGAAAGTAAAATTTAATACATATTTAAGTGGACGTTTCGGTTCTTTCTTTGAACCCTCTTCAGCACATTCTACAATTTAACAATTTAAAAAATTTTTAATATATATATCATCGGTCGATCATTAACGGAACTAAAAACATTCAAATAACAATAAAAGCGGTCAATCCATTGTATGGACATTTATGCAATACAAAAATCTAATGCGTATATATAATTTTTACGCTCGAGTTTCAAATTAATTACGGTCCTGGTTTGTGGTTTCATCGAACTTATCTCTCGTTGTTTGGCAAGGGAGGTTGATGATGTCAAGATCCTTGATAATAATTATTATATAGAGTAATAGAATCGAACACTCGGGCACCGATAAAGTAAAAAACAAAAAATATAAGAAATTATAATATGTAATTTTAACGTACCCAAAATTCGCAAACACAGATATATTTATTGTTGCAAAGTTAAAACGTATCGAGGCTAACGAACAATAAACTCGTATAGGTCGCTCTATGTCTTATATATATAGGAACGAATGTTATTTATTATTGTGTTTTTTAGATAATTTGTCTATAGCTGTAACGTATAAAATTTATGCAGTTATCAATATTACCTTTTTTACACAAGGAACGTTTAAAATAATTTTTCCATCAAAAAGCAATCAATTGTTTGTAAGCTATATCACTGTCACTACATGTGTACGACGATATATTGAATGTATATGTTTTCATCAATATTTTTAAAATACTGAATGATATTTCAATCGCGGATGCGCTTATATAATGAACATTTCGTTATATAATCATTATTTTTTAAATATCATATATTCACTATTTTTTTATTAACATTATATGTAAGAGAACATTATATGTAAGTGAAGTAAATGTGCAATAACAAGAGTTATCTTTTCAAAATATCTTTATAAATTGCTGCCTAATCTTTTTTTTTTATCTTAATAATAATATTCACACTGCAAGCAGAATATGCGACTTTGGAGTCGTCGATTTAAGTGCAAATGCAAATTATTTGCATTAAAAATTCATTCATATGTAAAGAGAATTTTATTCGTAGAATGAATATATACAGGCTGAGCCATTTTAATTTATCCACCCCAATAACTTTTTTATATTTGAATGTACAACAAAATGTTTCAAATAAAAGTTGCTTGACTTCGAAGGGGACAGAAGATGGGTGGCAAAAATTTGACCTTGGATAGTCATTTGAAAGTCGCATAAAGGTTACCTTCAATTTCCTAAATAGAACCCCCTATTTTTCATTGCATATTCTTGTAGCTTATCTCGAGAGCTTTCCAAAACACTATAATGAAGTACCTTTTCATTAAGTACTTTTTGAGTTACAAGGCTTGAAATAATTTCTTAATTTTACATAAACCTTAAAATATCTAAAATAAATTAAACAAAGTTAAAGGCTCCTCTAAATTAACAAAACTAAATGAATAATGAAAGGCAATAAAGAGCCAACGCAGTTGTAGGGCGTGGATAAAATAATTTCCAAAGCAGCGATTCAATTCTAACGATCCATTCGCTTTATTCCAAACGTTTCGGCCTCAACTCGACTCAATTCGAGCCTTCTTCAGTGATTCTGATAAAACAAAGAAAAAATACATAAATCAAATGAGAACAAGATAGAAACGCAATATCGGTAAAATACAAAAGAGAGGAGAAAGCATAGTCACATGAATGCATGGTCTATAAGAGCGACACGACTTCGTCACGGCTGATCCATCCGAGAAAGCATGATGCAAAAGCCCTCTCAGCGGTACAAAGCGCGAAGAGCGATGCACTAACAAAATATATATAATCAAAACTAGTCACATGTCTTAAAAGCGAGAGAAATTCATTAACGTTAGTCAAAGGACACTCACTCACTCAGACAAAAGACGAATCAGCAAAAACGAGACGAAATAATCGACACGGTAACAGTCGAACGGGCCGATAATTTGAACGATAACGGTATCATAGTGTGGTCGGCAATAACAAACTAAATATAATGAGGACAAAGCCAGTAAAATAGAAAAACAATCCGTTAAATTTTTGGCATGTTTTCAATAATCGACAGACATGAAGCATTCAATTTTAAAGTCGCTTTGGAGGTTCAACGACTTCTTTTGGCGCTTAATATGAATCATATTTCTTAAAATATCTAGTAAACCATTCATTTTTCGATTATCTTACCTTAATACTTTTATATAAAAAATAATGAGATAAATAAATTGGTGTAAAGAAAACATACAGTTGTTTTTAAGAAAAAATATGGAATTGTTAATTGCAAATTACATATTTTTTCTTAGAAACAACTATGTGTTTTCCACATATATATATATATATATATATATATATATATATATATATATATATAGGGTGACCCATTTTAACTTAGGCAGCCAAATATCTCGAAAACCAAGTCCGAGAGAGAAAAATGTTTCAGACAAAAGTTGTATGGTTTCAAGGGGGACATAAGATGGTACCATTGGTTTGACCTTGAAGAGTTATTTGAAGGTCACATGAAGGTCACCTTCATGTGACCTTCAAATAACTCTTCAAGGTCAAACCAATGATACCATCTTATGTCCCCCTTGAAACCATACAACTTTTGTCTGAAACATTTTTCTCTCTCGGACTTGGTTTTCGAGATATTTGGCTGCCTAAGTTAAAATGGGTCACCCTGTATATATATATATATATATATTTATATATTACTTAAATATATATATATATATATATATATATATATATTTATTTATATATATATGTTTTGAAGCCTACGTTTAAAAGGCAAACCTATATATATATATATATATATATATATATATATATATATATCTATATATATATATAGGTTTGCCTTATGAACGTAGGCTTCAAAACATTTAATCGACCCTTTATAAGGCCAAAAATTATTTAGAACATCAGAGTTTTTATTTTCCAATTATTTTGGATTTAAATTATTCGCGTGTTATCTAATCTACTTATTTTACATTCAGTCATTGCTTCGATGATATCAATTAAAAAATCTCTTCTTATTAAGTATGTTATATTGAAAGATTATTTTCTACTTTTGGCTTATATAGTAAAATACTCAATAGGCTGGAAACAGAAAAAGAGTCCAAACTGATATTTATTATGAGAACTTTATTCAAATATTATTTTATTCTAAATGATGATTAAAAATAATATTTATTTTAATGTTTAATTTGAAATTCATTTCTATTCATTCTTTATAATATAATATATTACAATATATTATTCTCCATTCCGCTTTTGGCTTGATATATACAGGGTGTTCGGAAATTCAACCGACAAATTTTCAGAGATTGTCGGGGGCACCATAAGAATCATATTTTGCAAATAAATCTGGGGTCGCAAACGTGTCGTTACATCCCTACGGCATACGGAGTGTTCAAAAGAGTCGGGACTTCGAAATATCACAAAAAATAGAAGTTTTACAAAAAATTGTTTTAAACAAAAATTGTAGGGTATAAAAAGGTCTATTTACTGGTGCTATGTGTTTGACCTTGGATGGCATCGCCAAGGTCACGACAAGGCAACCTTGAATTTTTTAAATGGAACTCTCTACTTTTTATTACATATTCTTGTAGCCCTTCTTTAGAAGACCTTTTCAAAACACTATAATTAGGTTAGTTTTCATTAAGATTCTTTCCGAGTTATGAGGCCTAAAATCATTTTTTAATTTTATATAAAATATCTTGTAAGATATTCATTTTTTAATTTTATATAAAATATCTTGTAAAATATTCATTTTTCAATTATCTTACCTTAATACTTTTATATACAAAATAATGAGAGGAATCAATTGGTATAAAGAAAACACAGTTTCGAAAAAAAATATGTAATTGTTAATTGCAAAATACATATTTTTTCTGTTACCGAACTTGGAAAACATTGTTAATGCTTGTAAGAGGACTTCTAAGACGAGAAATGAGACAAAATTTTGTATTACAAAAATTTCAAAAACTCAAAAATTAATTATTTCCGAATCTATGTAGATTAACTTCTTTTTCTTCTCTAAGTATGAGGAATCCATTCCTGAAATTTTGCCCACCACTTATGAAACACTCTGTATACATATGAAATATACATCAGTGTTCAACATACACATGTAAAATAAATTTTATTACAATAAACATGTATATTAATATTATTTATTAATTTAATTACATACTTTAAAAATGTATTGAAATAAAACACATTTTTTTTAAATCATGTTTAAAACATTTGTTTCTTTAAATATGTTTAATATAAAATTGTATTTAATTTGATGTAAAAAACATGTTTTAAACATTTGCTTTAAACATAAATGTTTAAAACGTAACAATCCTGTTACATATTCACGTAATTTTAAAAGACATGGAGAATGATATATTTTACTTTGTAAATTAATTATTAAACACTTATTTATTAAGCGATTGATGTAACACGGCACCATTATGCTACTTATTTGGATTTATTCGATTGTTTTACCGCTCTTTTTCGAAATCAAATTCTATAATATTTAGTTTTGCATTTTAAAGGACTAACTTATAGCAAACTAAATAAATAAATAAACTAATGTTGAGAAGAAAAAGAATAAAAAACATAAATAAATAAATAAATAGCGTGGAATTAAGAGAGAATATATTATTATAATATTTTTATTATAATAAATTATTATTAATTAAATTATTTATATTCTTATTTATATTATTTATATTATTAGAGAGAAGACAGAAAGGTGTTATGGTCTGCTTGATTTCTGAAAGAGTCTTTTTTCTGAATACGGCATCTGTAAACATTAAAAAGAGAATAACATATATATGTTGCTCTCTGAGAACATTCGTGGACATTGGCCTTGTAGTTCATGACCACGTTTCAGGGATCATTTAAAAGCAGGCCACCTCTCTATCTTCGCTCTAGTTTTAGAATGTAATAGAGTTCATTAATGTCTCTTGTTGAGAAATACCTTATATCTCTCATATTTACGAATATAAACAGAATTAGTAAAACGAAACTAATATTAGTCTGTTGCAAGATTTTTTGTTTTATTAAATATTCTTTGCAATGACTACGATTACATCATTACCTAACGAAATAATCATTTTTATTTTGAAATGTGAGATTATCGACATCGAAGATATAGTAAGATTTGGATCCACGTGCACGAGATTTCAAAAGTTATTACAAGACAAGAGTTTGTGGAGACAGAAATATTATAAGAAATATTTATTTCTTGTTTATTTTAATATATTCCTATTATTTTATTCTTTTTAATTTTTTATATTAATTTCATTTGATTGACTTTCATCGTTCAATGGAATATTTTTCATGAAAATAAATAAACATCAAATAACGACAAATAATTGATTTGTTTAATGTTCTAAATCCCAATGAGGGAGAAATAATTTGTTTAATAATCGCGATTACTTACTGAAATTCAGAATATTAAACAGATTTTTCAATTAGATGAGTAAATTGGAAATAGTCCATTTATAAGAGAATACAAAATTAATTGAAAATTCGAAAATGCTTATCGCAAACAAAGTCTTTATCCAGACAGAAAAAGAATGATATCATCTGCACCATGATGTTTTTGGCCTTTTCCTGAACCTAAAGGCCCTTGCACAATGCTAGGCAACAGGCAATAAGAACAGAAATACTATCTATTCTCTGCTCCTATTGGCGAATATTTCCTATTCCGCGTTTTATTGGTGAATAATTTCTATTCCCTATTTCTATTGCCTATTATCTAGCATTGTGCAAGAGCCTGACAACGTATGCCTATTACATATATATGTTCTCTACTTTTTATTTTTATAGATTTCTTATTTCTATTTTTGTAGATTTTGTTACTAAATTATAAACAAAGAAACTAACTATGTTCCCCATAGTGTATGTCGCCTTTTTATATTAACTAATTAATAAAACTACTTAAGATTTTTGAAATACAAATCTCAAAAAAAATAATTTTTAATATAAAAATTATATTATCTATAACAATCTTTAATTTTTAATTCGACCTTATAATTAAATCCAATTTGACCTTATAATTAAAAGAGGAGTTTATTTTTGTGTTGTGAAAAGAATAGAAAGATATCAAATTAGATTATTATTATATCTATTTTTAAACTATTTTCTATTAAAACTTCGTAATAATGAACCTCAAAGTATAACACGTAAAATCAATATTGTATACAATTTTTAGAATTTAATCCAAATATTGATATAAATGCAATTAAAAAATTTGTACATATTTTAGAAATTAGAATTTATTATTGGTTTAAAATAATTATTAAATAATAATTAAATAATTATTATAGTTTTGCCTAAAATTTATTATTGTTTTAATTTTTAGGTATCCATGTGGATGGAGGAAAGACGTAATACAGAAAAGTGGAAGAAACTTACCAATTTAGATTTTCAAGAACAACTAGCGATTATGGGCGATATTATAATATCGTTTCAAAGCATGTGAAAAACCTACAGTATTTGGTATAAAAATTTTCCTACAGTATTTGGTTTAAAAATTAAGAATTTATTAATAACTTTTTGACATAAAAATACAAACAATTATTCTTTTATGAATATTTTAAAAATATATACTGCAGAAACAAATACTTTAATTTAATAAATTACTATTATGTTAATTACTATTATGTAATCATTACATATACTTTGGATAATTTTTCGTGTAATTTGCATAAAAATTTACAATTGTAAATACAATTTTATATAATATAATTATAGTCATAATTGTATTGTATTTTAGAATTAAAATATTAATGTTAAATTATAATTAAAATACAATTACAACTATTTATAAATTACAATTTACAATTTACAAATTTATGATGCTATCAATATCAAATAATAATATTCCATTTATTCAATATTTAATAACATCGATATAATAATTTGATATTGATAGCATTAACATTTAAATTTAATATTATATTATATTTGATTTAATAC